TCGTTGCTTATCAACATTTCGAAATTAACAATCCTGCCATCTGCCAGCCGAGTTTATCTAATCATCGACGTATTTATAATATCATTTCCGTCTGTTCTGTTTAATTTGCACTTATGCCGACTGGTTCGCACAACGATTTTCACATCCATCGATTTTTCTTTTGACGTGTTACTCCGGCTGGTTTCATCCAAGTGTCTTCTCTTTCGTAACTTCGTTTACCTTTTGATAAAGCTCCTCTTCCTTTCCCCCTATATTCCTCCGTTTATATTCGCAAGAAGTTTCTGTTTGGCATTCAAATCGGTAGTTTCTGTCGAATCTGGTTGATCAGATCGATCTGTAATGGTGAGATGTGTCTTCATCCTGACGCTTAAAAGGCAGCGGTGTGCGTGAACCCGAAATTATTCGGGTATATTTCGGTATTTTTCCCGAGTTTTTTTTTTTTTTTTTTTTTTTTTACAGAAAGTAAAATTATTCTCAGAAGGAAAAAAGCGAAGCTAGAGAGACTATCTCTCGCGCGCGAAATGAAATATAAAATGATTCGAAAATGAAATATCACGCCTGGGTGTATCAGGTTGTTTGCCTATTATTTTTATTTACAGTGTTCTGTCTTTTATAATTATTTTATTTAATATTCATTTCATGTGATATTCTTCGGGTTCTCGCACACCTCTATTGAAAACCTGTTTCTCTCACTTCATTCATGGCCTCATTGTACTCGTTGACGAAACGTATCCTGTCCGATTTTCAGGTTCTCTCGGTGTGTTTCGATGTTTATTGGGATTGCTTTGCTTCCGAGTACAACACGGAATGTTTTAGCTCTCTTTTAGAGTCGCATATCGGTGAAAAATGTTCGATATATTCCACGCCGCGTCATAATTGTTTTAGATGCGCTTGAAGAAAGATCTGTAAATTGTCAGTCATTTGTAAGTTGCTTCAGATTATCAAAAGTCTGAAGTCGAGTATAAAGTATAATATTTGATACAAGGCAGCATGTAACAAATTCAGAGTACGTTCATCTTTGAACATGTACTTTTGATATTCGTGCACTTCATACTTCAACGTATAATTTTGCCTTTGCATTATATCGATTATAATGTGTCTAATAAACCAGTTATTTTATTATTGATTATAAAAATATCTATTCTAGCATCGATTAAATAGTCAGAGAGTTAATATTAATATACATCTATTTCCAGGATGATAATTAAAGTATTGATCTATTAATTAAAGTATATATGATAATTAAAGTATTGATTTATTAATCTTTTATAAGTTATTCCAGATACGTGGGAAATGTTGGAATTTTTTTGAGAATAGAAATGTTAGAAGGATTTATTGTCAGTTGTTAATTCTTGAAATATCTGTTGATATAAATTTATTTATACGATAAATAGTTAAATATAGGAAGACCTGTGCGTTGGTATTTGTAAATTATTCCAGACGAATAATATAGGAAACGTTGGAATTTAAATTTATTTTTCTATAATAATTAAAGTAACGAATTTGTAAATTGCATCAAGCAAATAAAATTTATTGGTAACTTTATTTAAAAAAATTTTTTTTTAGAAAATCGTACTTAATATTTATTCGTGAATTAATCTAACGTTAATGTGAATTTATTTAGTAATTAAGGAATAAAATTTAGGAAGATCTATAGTCATACGTAAATTATTTCTGGATACTGAAAGTTCTCACAATCGTAGGATTTTTTTAGAGATTCGTTCATTAGTTGCGTGTAATTTTTTAATATAAATTTATTTATTTATAGTAATAGTTGAAGTAATAGATTTAAAAAGACTTGTACATTGCTAAATGGAACTGGAAAATATTAAAATTTTTTTTATTAAAGTTGGAGAATTTTTGGAAATTCGTTATCAATATTAATTCTATTTTTATTCAGAATTAATGTACATTTATTTTTATGATAATAAAAAAAAACAGTTAAGAATTGCCAGTCATTTATAAACTATACATGGATGTTAGAATTTCGCACAGTAAACAAATTTTTACAGATTTGTTTCGTTATTATTAATTTTATAACTAACGAAGATTAATATATATCCATTTTTATGTTAGTAATTAAAGTAACAAATTCTAAAACGTTTTTAATTTGTTAACAAATTATTTAAAACGAACAGGAAACATAGAAAGTATTGAAAACTCGTTATCGACTTTAATTTTAAAATGTTTGAAAATCAAACAAACATAGTTCCATTCTATTCTTGTGTTATGTATATTCTTTTTATATAAACTTCCGAGCTTCATTACGCAGAAACAATTATTTCCATTATTCGCGTAATCCGAATTCAAATTCTAAACCAATTATATACGAGTTTCCATCCGTATCTTTTACAGGCGAATTTCGCATTGTTTTCTTTTAAAATTCGTTACACAATTTGAACATTTCTTACTTTATGCTTCGATATATTGCTGCGTGGTTCACAGAAATTCTAATTCAAGTTTTAAATCAGTTACAAAATTTCACATTCTCAAATGAAATTCACAAATGCTTCAACAAATTCTAACACTAAAAATGACTTATTGCTAAATTTTTATAGAAAGTGGTTGAAATGACTTGTTCCTAATTTTTTTTTTTTTTTTTTTTTATATATATAAATTTCAACTAATTTTTCGTGAAATACACAGGTGAAGGTTTGTGTCCTTTATTACAGACTTTTCTTTGTTTTTCTCGTACATGCAAATTTTATAATTCAATTACCGATAGTTCTTCCAGTGTTCAATCAATCACCATTTTTCATCCACGAGCAATTTCAGAAAACATTCGTGATCTTTCAATTACTTCGTAATACTAACTTTACTCCAAATGATCCTCAAACTGAATACGCGTGTATCGTACATTTGAATAAGTCACAAAAAATCACACGTGAAGTGTCGTAAGATTACGTCGGGAGAATTGATCTGTCTGAGCGGAAGCTCATCGTCAGAAATCGAATGCTCGTCCAACCACATTCTCCACGGTTACTCCAATCCTTCGAATTGATTCTCTCGATACAATGCCCTCGATCTTGACGATCCAACCAGCCAGCCAGCCAGCCAGCCAACTAGCCAGCCACGGACGTCAGCAATAAGTTTGATTAGGCTAACAAATTGTCACGCTCGTCTCGAGGAGGAAGAGGCGACGTTCAGGCCACTTCTTCGTAATAGGCAATTGTGGCTGGCGCACTGAAATCGACCGGGTGCGTGTCCTAAGTAAATAATAAAATCGTTTTCGCCACGATCATGCCAGTCTGTCGCGCGACACCGGGCTTCTTCTTCCTCAGCGATCTACTCTCTTCCCTCGATCTCTGATTCTCTGATACGATAAATTCGGCGCGAAATTCCGGTTTCAATCGCACTGTCGGACGTGAAAAAAGGCATCGGTGGACGAAAAATA